TTTTCTTTGCTTCATTGGTGGAGATTTCCTGGAAGTTTTAGGATATGTTCCCTTTAATTTTTCCTAGACACTCTGATTTTACTTATGTCTCTCACCTTTGCTTTCCCTCCATCCCCCACTGCAACAGTAACTTGCTCCAGGCTCACTTTGCTCTAGTGTCTAGGAGATCCGTCTGCCACCAGAACTACAATGCCCAGCATTCTTGGTGCTCCCCATGCTGGGAGCAACCGAGAGAGCCACGGCCCCCCAAACTGCTGGCTCTCCTGCTTCTGCTCTCCGCCTGGTGCCTGTATATGCAAATTAACCCACCATCTTTGTTGGGTTAATTTGCATATTCACTCCTGGTTGGCTGGTGAGTATAGCGAAGGGACAGTCAATTTACATGTTTCTCTTTTATTATTTAGGATAATATAGATATTTGCAAAAAGCCTATGGCATCTATTAAATTGCCTTTACAGAAAGTTTGCCAACCTTGCTCTTGTCTGATAACGCCTCTTCAATAAGCCAGCCCTTCAAACATCTGAAGTAACCCACCACCTAGAGGCACCCCCAAACTGAATGTCTCCTACTCCCTCAACGCTTCTGGATCCACAGCTTACCCCCATCCCCCACCTTGGCTGCTTGCTCCAAATGCCATGAGCTTTATCAAGGCACAATAATGTGGTATAAGTTCATATATATATATAAATTAAAAAAACAACAACACCCACCTCCAGCCTGCTCACAGTGTCTTCATTCCCAACTACTTCATTCAACTTCACTGGTCTATATTTCTCAACCCTGTTTTTAAGAAAATGCATAAAGATGTTGACATAGCTATTTTCATGCTACACAAAAGGAAGCACTAAAGAGCAGCAATCCTCAGCTTTGTCAGGTGATATACATTAAAAAAAAAATACATCAATTGGCGGCAGGTTTTAAATTTAAGGGGTGCACAAGTGCCATTTCAAAAGTTAAGTACATGAGAATTACATACCAGAAGCTCCAAACCCACCACAGCACAGAAATACCTGTTGTTGCTGGAGAAGGGCCAGAGCGGGCCATCTGGACCAATGTGATCCTGTGCAGCAACAGTCTGCCCGTCACAACAGAGATCCAGCACACACAGCACTGACATCATTTTTTTCTTTTTAAAAACACTTCACGAATTTGCGTGTCACCCTTGTGCATGGGCCATGCTAATCTTCTCTGTATCGTTCCAATTTTTCGTGTATGTGCTGCCGAAGCGAGCACAGCACTGATATCATTTGATCTGACAGATATGGATGTAACTGAGCCTCCTTATGCCTTCCCTGGCAGTTTCTACAGACTTGAGAAGCCGCACAGCAGGGCTGGCTAGACAGAAACCACAGGCCTATCTTGTGACCCTATTAGGCTATGTGGAGTGGACAGGATAGTGGCCTAGTCAGACCAATACTTCTCTCTTGATTTTTAGAGAGGAAGGGAGAGGGACAGAGATAGAAACATAGATGAGAAACATCATTGATTGGCTGCCTCCTGCACGTCCCCACCCTCCTTCCCAGGGGCGGGGGGGAATTGAGCTTGTAAACTGGGTATATATCCTGACTGGGAATTGAACCAGTGATCTCTTGGCTCATGGGTCAACACTGAATCACCGAGCCACCCTGGCCGGGCAATGCTTCTCTTTTAAATGAATAAGCAAACTATGCTAGAGAGAAAATTACTTTCTTCAGTGAGAATAGAAGTGGAAGATATACAATGATTTAACCATCAGGACTTCCTCAGTCCTTTACAACACTCCCTGATTATACAGGTACTAGTTGTGCTCCAGAAACAGCTGCATGCAAAGAAGCTGGATTGTCACATACTACAGTAAACAGACAGTTCCCCTCCAAGACCAGCAGATGAAGCATGCTTGTTCCTGTTCATTTATTCTTCAGACTCAGTCCCTTCCAGGTGCCAAGCACTGTGAAAGGAGGTAGAGATCTCAAGGGGAGGAAAACAGAAGATAGAGATAAGCAAGACATGGTGATTGCTCTGAAGGGCTTTACAAATGGCAGGGAGATTAGAGCTTAAGAAGTCCCACTACCGTGCTAGACTTGTTATAGAAACCAAGGGCTGCGGAAGCTGAGGGAATCACCACCTGGGAATGTTAGGAGCTGAAATCTGTGCTGGACTGTGAGCAAGGCAAAGATGCTCTTCTTTCAGGGCCTTCATAGCTGCTCCATCTACCTGCAAGGTTTCTCCAGTCACAGGCCTTCCTCCTTGAGTTCAGGTCTTTGCTCAAATGTCACCTCATCAGAGGCCTGCCCCGAACACCACAGCTATTTACTCCACAGCACTTGCTTTTTTACTTTGTCTTTCTCTATCAAATGTAAACTCCACGAGAGCCGAGTTTGTTTTGTATACTCAAGTATCCTAGGCATGTAGTGTTGTGCATGAAAAATATAATGCCAGCCACATGGGTAATTTTAAACTTCCTGGTAGCCACATTACGAAAGTCAAAATAGATGAAGTTAATTTTACTGTTATTTATGAACCTAATATATTTAAAATGTTGTCATTCTCAACATGTAGCAATGTAAAAATTACTAATGAGTTCTTCTTAATACTAAGTCCTCAAAAGCCAGGCGTATACTGTGCACTTATAGGCCATCTCAATTCTGACTAGCCTTATTTCCAGGGCTCAACAGACTCATGCAGCTAGTGGCTGGGGGGCTGCACAGCGCAGCTGTACATATTCCAATACATTATACTGCATCCATTTAGGTATCTGCTCTCATCAAGAACAGGGGAGGGCCTGGCCAGTGCCTGGGCTGGCTGAGCGTCTTCCTGTGCACAGAAAAGGTTGCCAGTCCATGGAGTCAGGCACCTACAGAAGGCAACCAACCGACCAACCAACCGATGTTTCTCTCTCCCTTCCTCTCCCTACCTAATCAATGCTCTGACCGACACTGCGTTTCCAGGGGGCAGACCGGCCACCCTCGACCCCAGGTGGGCCAAGCGACCAGTGTCCCTCGCCCTCTTCAAATAATCTCCCGGACACCACCCTGGAGCCCCCAGCTCCGCTCAGGTCCTCCCGCCCCCCACGATCTTCCGCCCCTGGGTTCTCCCGGGCACCCCC